ATTTTTACGCCTTCTTTTTTAGCTTAATCTTTACTGAAACCATAACATTCTTCTTTAGTTGACATTAGATACTTTTCATCGGTCTTTTTGTGTTATTATTTTTTTCAATGATTCTTGGATGTGCGGCTGGTGTAATGGATATCGGTGAGAAATCGGAAAACAGTCGAGTTTGTTATGTTCACTTACGTGCAAATACCTTTAGGAAAGGGATGAATTCTTTTCACCCCAAGTTATGGGTTAAATAGCAGGACAAGTCGTAGTTGGTAAAACTGTCTAGGAGAAGGACAACTCTGAATTCAGAACCGTAACCACCAAATCACGGGTTGCCCTTTCGCAAGGCATAGTAGCCGGTAGCAGAATGTGGTCAATGGCGGAATCTGACAGATCCGATTTGTGGTACTAAACCGAAATGATGTCATGATGTTCATACTGGACAATCGATGAGTCCTAGTATCAGGGACATTCCGTGTATACCCTAATATATGCGCAAATGAAAGCCCTATGTGTAAACAGAACCTGGAAGAAGCGTGTGGATATTATAAGGAGTCCCGATGGACGAACTATTCTATCCTAATTTTATTATTGTTAGCTTTTAACTTAAAAGGGCTGCATTCTTATTCATCTCTTATTTTTTAATATTTTATTTATTCGTCGCCCTTTTGCATATCAGTAGCTAGTGGTGGGGGGATAAGAAGAGGATTCATATCTTTCCCAAGGGTATTAGCACGTAAGTGAATGCAATAAATTCGACTGGAATTCGAACTCGGCTCTCCGATTCCTCAATCCAAGCCTCTATACATTGCGGCACCTCTACCGATCCGTTTTACAATTCTCATTAATGTTTCCTCTCGTAGTTGCATTTCTTCGTTAATCTTCATAATAATACTCGAGATCACTCTTGATAGTGAAAAGAAACAAAAAGGGAAAATATAATTGACATTTAACCCACTCTGACCTCCAGAAGACAATCACCCGAAGTATTTTCACCAAGCAAATGTTTGTAATGTCAATAAATTTCATAGCAGTTACTGTTATTTTCTGATTAAAAAAACCCGTTTCCTTCTCTCTCGATACTTTGAATGGCAATATTTCTGAGACGTTAAAAAGTTATAAATCTACAGAGAATTAGTCATGTAATTGTATCTTGCATATAATTTTCGCTTTGAAATTTTATTGTCTGCGGAAACAGTGTGTCAACGTCTTGAGTCCTATGGTCATCATCATCATAATTGATATACGATCAAGAGGGAGATTCTTCCACGATCATTATCATCGAGATGAACATGAAACATCGAGATGAGACAGAGAGAGAGAGAGAGAGAGAGAGAGAGAGAGAGAGAGAGAGAGAGAGATTTGGAATAATCGGAGGCGTTGTCGTTATTGATCGGGAACAAATGGCAACAAGAACCATCGATGCAACAATTTTCAATCCTATATAGAGCTTTTTCGTACCAGTAATAATTCAGTAAACATTATACCCACCATTAAAAAAAAAGTAAAGAGAAAAAAGATACAAGAAATATAAACACTCTTTTCAAATAACGTTTTCATTTGTTTTAATTAGTCTTCATTTATATCAACCTCTTTATCTATCATTGATACTACATTTATTTACATTTGTTTATTTCTCCATTATTTCCTTGTCTTCTTCTTCTTCTTCTTCTTCTTCTTCTTCTTCTTCTTCTTCTCACGTTTATCATTCATGCTCTTCTCTTGTCATTCGCATCCTTAAAATCCTTCAAATCCCTCTCTAGTCTCTCGTATTCTTCAGTTATTGCCCTTTCAGTACCTCATATTAATGTCTCTCTGTTTTCCTGTTTTACACTCTAATCACTATGCTTCAAGCATCTTATCAACGTCATTTCACTTGACATTAAACTAATATTGCTGGTTATAAGGTCAGAAATCCTGTCACGTCAGAAGTTTTTATTCTAATCCGAGTTCAGAATGCCAACTAAGCTACAATCCTTTAATCTATCCTTCCTGACACCAGCCAACATCTAATTTTTTTTTTACCCTCCATGACTTATGTTAGATATGATTTACGTGTGTATATTAAAGAGGAACAGCGTTCCGGCTCTTTAAAAGGTTAGTTATTTTTGTATACATCCCAGAAAAGAAGACACATCCAAATTCTTTTATCGTTACACACACACACACACACACACACCTAAAACATACACACACAGACACATACACACACAGACACAGACAGACAGACACGCACACACGCATACACACACACACGTGCACACAAATACACGTACAGATATGATGCAATAATTAACTATGTCTTATATACTTAAGGTGGAGTAATGGATAGCGGCTCGGATTGAGGAATCGGAGAGCCGAGTTCGAATTCCAGTCGAATCCATTACATTCACATACGTGCTAATACCTTGGCAAAGGTATGAATCCTTTTCTTCTCCTTCCAGCTATGGGTAATTAGCAGGACAGACCGGATTCTATAGCCTTGGAAGGCGACAGGTCTACCACAGAATGAAATGGCAACTTACTGCGGGAAAAAATCTGCCTCGTCAGTCATGATCGTCTAAGCGTGTATCACGCAAGGCACATAACCGACATCTTATCTAAAGTGTTTATTTCTTAAGAAAACATTAATTCATATGTATGTTGGATTTCATTAGTGGGTATCTAGGATTTATGCTACATATTTGAAGACAACAATTATCTTATATACAAAAATGTTAGATGATTTGACAAGTACCAGTTTATAGTGTCATGGAAAACAGTGGGTATCTCGACTAGTATTATGTTCCTCCTTCTACTTTCTTGTGTAGGGATACAAAACGGTGATTGTCTCCCTTTCGTGGAGATAGTCACGAGGGTCACGTGACAGTCGGTGAATGACGTGAGTGACGAAGAGAAGAAAGATGTCACTAGCCCACGTCGGTAAGTCTTACAGGAAAAACCACATAGCCTATCTTGGTTCATAGAGAAACCCCTGTAAATACAGTTTTCCCTTCTGTTATATATATATATATATATATATATATATATATATAACTTTGTGTATGATGGAGCATTATAAAAATCTCTCTGAGAAGAAAGAATGTTTGTAATTCTTTTTCCATTCAGCTATTCCGTTCCAACCGTGAATTACGGTGTTATTCCAATGCAGAATGGAATCGAAACACAACATTGTACTTGAACTAACTACGTTGTTGTTATGATGCGGGTAAATGAGTGTAGCGTTTCGGCCATACGCGTGTTTTAGGAGCGCAGAATCTTGTGCCCAAACCCGTTTGCGATACTGTTCGTTCAGGAATTATTTTTACGCATGTCCAAAATGCCGAAAAAGGATCTGGTACTAATAGGTTTTGAACGTATGCACGTCTGGCTTTAGCAGCCACTATATCCTTCAGATATTCGTTCATTCATTTCGTTTCAAGTGTCAACAGCCAGAATACTGCAAATAGAACTGTTCCTCATCTCGCGTCCAAACTCTCAAATCTCAGTATCGATTCACAGCCGTTGCTTATCTTGGCTTTATTTCAAGTGACAAGGTAAATCACAATTTGGTAAAAGGTAACGAGTTCCATTGTTGACACAAATAGGGCATCTATCACTGACCACATCCTTCTTCTTCTTCTTCTTCTTCTTCTTCTTCTTCTTCTTCTTCTTCTTCTTTCCCCCCGCTTAGCACATCATGGCCTAGTCATTGTCATTTCGGAAGTAGTTTAAGTAACGGAAATAGCTGACATACAGAATCCATTCACCGTCGAGGCACTAGCTCAAATATGATTGCTCGGATAAACCTTGAAATTCCGGACTTGGATTTTGTCAACATTGGACGTGGCCGGCGTGCTCTTTTTCCTTTGATATTTTTGGTTAGATTAAAGCAAGTTAGACTACAAAGCGATTATCTGGTTGGACAGCCAAGAACGAAAAAGATTCTGAGAAAATTTCCCAAGTATTAACTGAAGTTAAAAGAGACATTTTTTTTTATTAATACTATGTCCCAGATCTATCTATCTATCTATCTATCTATCTATCTATCTATCTATCTATCTAAATCAGTTTTTTTTATCTATCTATCTATCTATCTATCTATCTATCTATCTATCTATCTATCTATCTATCTAAATCAGTTTTTTTATATCTATCTATATCTATCTATCTATCTATCTATCTATCTATCTATCTATCTATCTATCTATCTAAATCTGGGTTTTCATATCTATATATATATCTATCTATCTATCTAAATCAATTTTTTTTCTATCTATCTATCTATCTATCTATCTATCTAAATCTGGCTTTTCATATCTATCTATCTATCTATCTATCTATCTATCTATCTATCTATCTATCTAAATCATTTTTTTTATATCTATCTATCTATCTATCTATCTATCTATCTATCTATCTATCTAAATCTAGCTTTTCATATCTATCTATCTATCTATCTATCTATCTATCTATCTATCTATCTATCTATCTACATCAATCTTTTAATATCAACCTATCTATTTGGAGCTCATGATAATTTACTTCCCCGTATGCTTGCTTGTTGCATTCATCGTTGTTCGAACCCAGATAAAAGAGAGGGACTTCAAACGCAAATTTTCAATGCAATCAAAATCGATTGACTCAACAGTTTCTATCCCTAGCAGTCACTGTAAAATCTATAATTTCTACGTGACTTTAAATACTTCATCTTTCGTCATTTCATGTCTATGCATTTGTCCACGTGCTTGCAAATGTAAAATAAAAGATTTACAGCTAATTGAATGACGAAAGCAAGAAACCAGCGAATACTTGTTACATTCGTTAGATTCACTTCCGCACAAATACTTTTATCTCTTCTCTCACCACACCAGGCCAGAAAGACCTCATTCGTCATCATTTGGAATCAGCTTAGTTGAAGGATCACTCTGAATTCAAAATGATATGTAGCCCTTTCGAAGCATATATTACAATGGATTATGGAATTTATAATTAACTCAGATGCATGTTTATAGATTATGCTCTCGACTATGGTCGATGAGGCACTTTATATAAAATTACATGCTTTAAAATTTTCTTTCTATGCTAACATTATCTATCTATCTATCTATCTATCTATCTATCTATCTATCTATCTATCTATCTATCGTTATCAGTCTATTCATTTCACTCTCTTCATTTATGTACTTGACTGCATTCATATCTATCTATCTATCTATCTATCTATCTATCTATATCTATCTATCTATCTATCTATTGTTATCAGTCTAATTATTTTTCTCTGTCCATTTATCGATCTGACTGCATTCATATCTATCTATCTATCTATCTATCTATCTATCTATCTATCTATCTATCTATCTATCTATCTATATATCAGTCAAGCCTGTGGGTCTTATCAAAGACCATCCTTGTGTGAACATTGTAGAATGACGCTACAAAATCATAAACAAAGTATTATATCAAATAACAGAAACCACACCAGTTAAAAACTATCAACAGCGGCAACAACTAAAATGGATAGCACGTGTAACTCGAAGAGAAAATAATGACATAATCAAGATGTTAACGTTTTACACTACTGCAAATAAAAGTATAGGAAGACCCCCACTCTCACCCCATCAATAGTGGAAAGTGCGATAATGGCTACGAGCCTTGAGAAACCTATTTTCTTGAGAAATTATTTGAATACAATGATTTTATGAATTCCAACGGACAGCTTGTAGTGGTTGCTTGGTTAATGAATGCCAAATGTTTCCTTGTAGGGAAACGGCTAATATTACCATTATCATTACTATCTATCTATTGTTATCAGTCTATTCATTTATCTCTCTCTCTCTCTCAATTTATTTATCTTGACTGCTGTGACATGGCTCTAAATGTTGAATGTTAAATCAGACGTATGATCAATTTATTAATGGACACGCTTTCTTTGTGTTTCCTCTTTTCTTCCTTTATTTCCTCTCTAGACTGAGTCCAGTCTCGACTGAGAAATGGCGAGAAAGAATCTATGTAGTTTGACAACTATAAAAATTGACCTCAAAATGGAGTAAGTAAAAGTCAGTCACTCAAGTCCATGTGACATGCTCTAGCAAGTGGGCTTTTTGAATTGTAATTTCAGTTTCCCGATAATCTCCTACCACGACAGGTCGCAAATAAATTTATTCTCATCGTGCGCTCATTAGAAATGCGTTGATGTACTTATTCTATTACTTGTTATGTAAGGGATAAGGAAATATTATTCTCGAAGATACTGGATTTATTCAACTACTTGATGGATAGTGAATAAGAAGACCATGCATTTATTCGACTACTTGTGTAGAGAATAAGAAAATATTATACCCAAAGAAATCATCTCAATTTCATCTTGGATGTAATTCTATTACCAGAGGGGAAACGAAATACAAGTATTATTCCAGAGTCTTATATCTTATATTGCAGAAAGAAAACCAACTGACTTTTAATCGGACATTTTAAAGAGATTTTGTCTGTTTGCCATAATGAACATTTAAATATACAAATTCATGAATCACGAATACTTGAACTAACAACCAGTATCAGATATGTGTCATTTATTGATTTTACGTCTGTTATCCCATCTTCTTTCAATATTCTGTTGTTTTTGTTGTATAAAATTGTTTATAAACGTTCATCTTGTGCTTGTTGCTGGTTGACACTTTTGTCGTGCGTTACTCTCTGAGCAAACCCATCTTTTCTTTTCTTTTTTTTGAACCTGGGGCCCACATCTCTATATATTGCAAATTCGTAACACTGCATTCATATCTATCTATCTATCTATCTATCTATCTATCTATCTATCTATCTATCTATCTATCTGTTAACGAAAAGTAAAATATTTTAAGTAAACTTCCTTTGTGTTAAAAAAAAAACCTGTAAAATATTACCAAAATTTTACAGGCTGGATTAAATCGTTTGAAGACGGGAATGATATACGATATATCGTATAAAATAATTGGGCTTGGTCAGATATCTGTCTGAAAATCTATCAAATGTTTGAATAAATAAACATAAATCTTACTGAATAAACACACACACACACACACACACACACACACACACACACACACACACACACACACACACACACACACAAATGCAGAAAGGTAACATTTATCCTGTTAATCAAAAATCGTAAATCTGTTATTATCAACCGGAAATTAAAATGAAGACGCTATCTCCGCCTGCGACAATTTAAGAATTGTTTTTCAGGCCGAAAACATTCTCACAATTGTCCCAGGCTGCGGGATGCTTACCATCTCGAGGTAGATTACCACCCAAGGTAAATTTGTTAGTTTCAATCTGCCTGTTAGCACAGCTATCGACAGTTTTCGAATAATTTGTCTACGTAATTTTACTCACAAAGTTAAACCGTAGTAGGATTTTCAGAAATTTCCTAGCGGCGCCTCAAGCTGGGATCATCTCCCGAAGACAATATTATTCAGAAGTCACTTTCTTGACTAATTAACCACGATGAGATTCGAAACCCGGTTCTCATGATCAAACTGCTAATGTTTTAACCATTCAGACATGTGCCGACCAGTAATAACCTAACAGATTTATTATAACATAGATTTTATATACGTAACACTCACTTTAAAAAATGCCTTGTGCCACACCCCGCCACTGTGTGCGTGTGTGTGTGTATGTGGGGGGAATAAATAACTAGTTAATCTACATAAAGTTCACTTTTAAAAAAAGCCTTGAGCTATATCCCTCCACCGTGTGTGTGAGTGAATAAATAACAAGTTCATGTACATAATCCCCATGTTAAAAAGGTCCCGTGCCACATCCCACGGGCGTGTTTGTGCGCGCGTGTGTGTGTGGGGGGGTAGTAAATAACTAGTAACTATGCACATAACCCTGTTAGTAGCCATACACTCACATCTATAGGAAGAGTATTGTTTCATCTTTCATTGTTTCCTCGATGTTTGGCTTTTATAATTCTACAGATGAGTTGACCGTGCAGATTTCTGACCATCTATCTGCTTCATCTCACTAGCTTTTGGCTTGCAATCAATAACGATGAATTTGGGATTGGTAAACAATTTACATGTTTACGATAATTCTTACTATAATTCTTTTGTAAAGCACTTTGTAGTCGCCCATGCAATGGAGTGTTTTTGTGAACAGAATCTGTAATGAGGACGTTTTCCCAGGTGTAATGTATATTTCAAAATATTTTATGCGATTTTGATGAAAGTTGTCAACAGTGTTAAATAACCTGTGAAGTAAAGATCCAACGGTGTAAATCGGTGCTTTTGATCGCAATTCATTATTGATTAGGCATTTTTCGTCAATGAAGTAATTCATTACTTTTCGTCGTATCTCTCTCTCTATATATTTATCGCCCTGTTGGTTGGGGCTAAGAATATGCCGACTGCATCTCCCGTGGACAGGAGCTACCTGTTTACCGTACGTACGTATGTCGGGAAAACCGAACCTAATTTTACATTTTTAATTCTAATTCATGTCGAACCTATAGCGATTTACAAAGCGTATCTTAGATGTGGCACAAGGCCGAGATTATGGAGCATCGAGTGAGGATCAAAATCATTACTCAGTCGTAATTTTGATCAAACAAGACAAGCTTGCTAACCATTATACCATGACGAAGTGGCCAAATGTTGCATAAATTAATTAAGTCTCATTTAAATTAATTAAGTCTCATTTAAATACTCATGGAGAAAAAAAAAATTATAAGACCATATGAGAAATTATATAAAAAAACTTAATCAAACACCTTGTCTGTCATATTTAATGAAACTTGCATGACAGAAGGATTACTGCCTAAATACAATATATATATATATATATATATATATATATATATATATATATATATATATATATATATATAATGTAATTGATGCATGTTTCATTAAATAATATAGGCAAGTTTTGTCTATTTTAAGTAAGTTCCTTTCATATTGTCTGATAAGCTTAATAACATTATCATTGAAAGACGAAAAGAATCAGACAATATGAAAAGAACTTAGAATAAATAGACAAAACTTGTCTATATTATTTAATGAAACATGCATCAATGAAAAATTGCTGTCTAAATATACACAATTTATATATAATGTAAATCTATTTAAACTTTGTGGGTGATAAACCTTGATAGCACAATTTTCAAACAAATTGGCATCTGAAAAAAAATGAAAAAAAAAGAAAGAACCAGAAACCTTTGAACAGGGCGAAAAAAAAAATCGTCCAGTACCTTAAATTTCTGGTACAAAAAAACAAAAAACAAAAAAAAACAAACTAAAAAAACACCGAGTAATAAGTTAATACGAAGAGTTTTCAATACATTAAGTAGAGCAAAAGTAAAATAAATAAATCCTAATGAGCCAAATACGTATATATATATATATATATATATATATATATATATATATATATATATATATATATATATACTAAGCATAGTTTAGATTTGGCCAAAGTCCAATAAGGATCGTCCTTAGTATTTTATTATTTTTCTTCAGTTGATCTATTTTGAACATTTATGAATCTCTCACGTCAAATATCACAGTCCTGCATCAAGGTCAGAAGGTCATTATGATGGCATTCTATGTCATGACATGGCTGGACAACCAGCCCGTCTTTCGCCATGTCTAGGTGTTCAGAGCCGTAGACCACGCTCAAGGTCTTATTTTGCTCGCCCGCACTGACCTGCAAAGCGCATTCTGCGTTCGTAGAATGTAGAAATATCAGGGATTGGTCCATAGAACTGTGAATTAGTTGGATGATAAGTATAGCTCGTAGTATCCGAGTATAGGTTCCATCAAGCGTAGACCTTAATAATATCCATGCAGTGGCACCATATATTGACACCGCCTCTGTAGTGGATCGAAAGAATCTCCATTTGAGGTTCTCTGGTAGATCAAATTTCCAGATCCTACGCGGCACAGGCTTTAGCTGTGCGGATTTTTACATGCTTTCCGGTATTTATTTCGCTTCCTAGGCATATAACAGATTCCAGAGATTTTATTGATTCACCTGAAACCATTTTTATTGAGCCTTGCTGGTTGAAGCCTGCACAGCCGTAATTGATCAAACGAGACTAGCTTTCTAACGAATATAAAACGTAAAATTGCTACCTTTTGACTAGTAAACCAGACCCATGTTTACCCGTTGTTTATCAAAACGAAGAATTTACTATTAAATAACCTACAAAAGGTAGATATACCGTAAAGCAAAGCAAACCAATATTGCATCTGGAAATTTTCTTCATATATAATCATGTATCTATGTCGATATATTCTGCGGATAGTACTTCATGATGCATAGCAAATTTTATTTTGTGTGCGTGAAAGAGAGAGAGAGAAAGAGAAAGAGAGGGAAATAAAGAGAGAGAGGAAAAGAGAGAGAAAGAGAAAGAGAGGGAAATAAAGAGAGAGGGGAAAAGGAAGAGAGAGGGAAAGAGATAGAGAGAGAGAAAGAGAAAGAGAGAGAGAAAGAGAAAGAGAAAAGAGAGGGAAATAAAGAGAGAAAGAGAGAGAGGAAAAGAAAGAGAGAGGAAGAGAGAGAAAGAGAGATAGAGAGAGAAAGAAAGCGAGAGAGAGAAAGAGAGGGAAAGAAAGAGAGAAAGAGAGAGAGGAAAAGGAAGGGAGAGGGAAAGAGATAGAGAGAGAGAGAGAAAGAGAGCAAGAGAGAGAAAGAGAAAGAGAGTGAAATAAAGAGAGAAAGAGAGAGAGGAAAAGAGAGAGAGAGGAAGAAAGAGAGATAGAGAGAGATAGAGAGACAGAGAAAGAGCGAGAGAGAGAAAGAGAAAGAGAGGGAAATAAAGAGACAGAGTAAAAGAAAGAGGGAGGAAGAAAAAGAGATAGAGAGAGAGAGAGAGAAAAAAGAGGGAGTGAGAGAGATAAAAAAAGTAAGCAATAGCGTTTAAATATATAGGCACGTGTAGTTTATTTTTATAGTCTTTTAACTTAGTATAAAGAGATTTGTTTGATTGAGTCAAAGCAAGCAAATGCGTTTACATTTTATACTAACAAAGCTACCAATATACAGAGTGGGAATACACTCTGTATATTGGTAAGTTTCTTTATACGTAGACGAGTGTTTAGAACGTTAGCGATTCGACATTGAGACGCATTTGCTTGCTGTGACTCAATCAAACAAATCTCTTTATACTAAGTTACATAAAAATGAAATACACGTGCCTATATTTCTCACAATGGTCGATTTATCAAGAAGCTACACTCTTGAGAAAATAATTATGGGTAAGTGATTTTTTAAAAATTCTATTATTTTTTTTTTTTAATTTTTGGCACTTCTATGTCATGACGACTTAAAATACAAGACGACAAAAAAGCCAAGTTTTCCTCTGGGCAGAATCTTTCACGTTGACTACAAAATAAAAGTCGGTGGATTCTTCCTTAATCGCAATTAATGGCTATTAATAATGGTTAAGTGAACAGCCTAAAGAATTCAATTAAAACTTTTCATACAGTAACTATTAACCTATATATTCTATAGAAGCAGGAAAGGTTCAATTAAAAAAGTAAATGAAATACTTGTCTGTGTCTTTTAATCAAAGATGTACTAATTGCTGCTTACGTTATACATACATACATACATATATATATATATATATATATATATATATATATATATATATATATATATATATATATATATGTATATGTGTGTATGTGTGTGTGTAAATATTATATATATATATATATTTGTGTATATGGGGGAAAAGATATATAAAGTTTTATATATCAAGAACAAATTTAGAGAAAAAAAATTGATTGAGAATTTTACTCTATCCTCTGTAATAATTGTCACACGGAATACATAGGAGAAATCTCAAGTAATTT